ACTCAACCGCTCACTCACTCAGCCGCTCACTCACTCACTCAGCCGCTCACTCACTCACTCAGCCGCTCACTCACTCACTCGCTCGCTCACTCACTCATTCAATCACCCGCTCAGTCACCCACCGACTCACCCACTGTACGTCTACCCTCCCAACGTGGAGTCCAGCCCCGAGCTTCCCGCACACGTGCTTAGCCGCCTCGACAAGAGTGAGTGGAGCGTCGCCCCCTCGCCCGCTCGCTCACTCACTCACTCGTTCAATCACTCACTCGTTCACTCAGCCACTCGCTCACTCACTCGTTCAATCAATCACTCACTCACTCACTCGCTCATTCAATCACCCGCTCACTCACCCACCGACTCACCCGCTCACTCACTCACTCAGCCGCTCACTCACCCACCCACCCACTCACTCACTCACCCACCCACCCACCCACTCACTCACTCACTCACCCGCTCACTCACTCGCTCACCCACCCACCCACCCACTCACCCACTCACTCACCCACCCACTCACTCACTCACTCACCCACCCACTCACTCACTCACCCACCCACTCACTTACTCGCTCACTCACCCACCCACTCACTCACCCACCCACTCACTCACTCACTCACCCACCCACCCACTCACTCACTCACTCACCCACCCACCCACTCACTCACCCACTCACCCACTCACTCACTCACCCACCCACTCACTCACTCACCCACCCACCCACCCACTCACTCACCCACCCACCCACTCACTCACTCACCCACCCACCCACTCACTCACTCACCCACCCACCCACCCACTCACTCACCCACCCACCCACCCACTCACTCACCCACCCACTCACCCACTCACTCACCCACCCACTCACTCACTCACTCACCCACCCACCCACCCACTCACCCACCCACCCACCCACTCACTCACTCACCCACCCACTCACTCACCCACCCACCCACTCACTCACTCACTCGCTCACTCGGCGCCCTGCGCAGGCCACATCATCAACGTGATCTGGGTGATCGTCTCACTCAGCAACGACAATCAGAAATACCCCTCTCTACCCCTCTCTCTCTACCCCCTCTCTCTACCCCTCTCTCTCTACCCCCTCTCTCTACCCCCTCTCTCTACCCCCTCTCTCTACCCCCTCTCTCTCTACCCCCTCTCTCTACCCCCTCTCTCTACCCCCCCTCTCTCTCTACCCCCTCTCTCTCTACCCTCTCTCTCTACCCCCTCTCTCTCTACCCCTCTCTCTACCCCCTGTCTCTCTCTACCCCCTCTCTCTCTACCCCCTCTCTCTCTACCCCCTCTCTCTACCCCCTCTCTCTCTACCCTCTCTCTCTACCCCCTCTCTCTCTACCCCTCTCTCTCTACCCCCTCTCTCTACCCCCTCTCTACCCCCTCTCTCTCTCTACCCCTCTCTCTACCCCCCCTCTCTCTCTACCCTCTCTCTACCCCCCCCTCTCTCTCTACCCTCTCTCTACCCCTCTCTCTCTACCCCTCTCTCTCTACCCCCTCTCTCTCTACCCCCTCTCTCTCTACCCCCTCTCTCTCTACCCCCTCTCTCTCTACCCCCTCTCTCTCTACCCCCTCTCTCTCTACCCCCTCTCTCTCTACCCCCTCTCTCTCTACCCCCTCTCTCTCTACCCCCTCTCTCTCTACCCCCTCTCTCTCTACCCCCTCTCTCTCTACCCCCTCTCTCTCTACCCCCTCTCTCTCTACCCCCTCTCTCTCTACCCCCTCTCTCTCTACCCCCTCTCTCTACCCCCTCTCTCTCTACCCCCTCTCTCTCTACCCCCTCTCTCTCTACCCCCTCTCTCTCTACCCCCTCTCTCTACCCCCTCTCTCTCTACTCTCTCTACCCCTCTCTCTCTACCCCCTCTCTCTCTACCCCCTCTCTCTCTCTCTACCCCCTCTCTCTCTACCCCCTCTCTCTACCCCCTCTCTCTCTACCCCCTCTCTCTCTACCCCCTCTCTACCCTCTCTCTCTACCCTCTCTCTACCTCTCTCTCTCTACCCCCTCTCTCTCTACCCCCTCTCTAACCCTACCCCACCGTGTCTCCCCGTGCAGGCCACATCATCATCGTCATCTGGGTGATCGTCTCCCCTAGCAACGACAAGCAGAAGTACCCCTCTCTACCCCCTCTCTCTCTCTCTACCCCCTCTCTCTCTACCCCCTCTCTCTCTACCCCCTCTCTCTATCCTCTCTCTCTACCCCCTCTCTCTCTACCCCCTCTCTCTATCCTCTCTCTCTATCCTCTCTCTCTACCCCCTCTCTCTCTACCCCCTCTCTCTCTACCCCCTCTCTCTATCCTCTCTCTCTACCCCCTCTCTCTCTACCCCACGTCTCTCTCTACCCCCTCTCTCTCTACCCCCTCTCTCTCTACCCCCTCTCTCTCTACCCTCTCTCTCTCTACCCCCTCTCTAACCCTACCCCACCGTGTCTCCCCGTGCAGGCCACATCATCATCGTGATCTGGGTGATCGTCTCCCCTAGCAACGACAAGCAGAAGTACCCCTCTCTACCCCCTCTCTCTCTCTCTCTACCCCCTCTCTAACCCTACCCCACCGTGTCTCCCCGTGCAGGCCACATCATCATCGTCGTCTGGGTGATCGTCTCCCCTAGCAACGACAAGCAGAAGTACCCCTCTCTACCCCCTCTCTCTCTACCCCCTCTCTCTCTATCCTCTCTCTCTCTCTATCCTCTCTCTCTACCCCCTCTCTCTCTACCCCTCTCTCTCTACCCCTCTCTCTCTACCCCCTCTCTCTCTACCCCCTCTCTCTCTACCCCTCTCTCTCTACCCTCTCTCTATCCTCTCTCTCTACCCCCTCTCTCTCTACCCCTCTCTCTCTACCCCCTCTCTCTCTCTACCCTCTCTCTACCCCCTCTCTCTCTCTACCCCCTCTCTAACCCTACCCCACCGTGTCTCCCCGTGCAGGCCACATCATCATCGTCATCTGGGTGATCGTCTCCCCTAGCAACGACAAGCAGAAGTACCCCTCTCTACCCCCTCTCTCTCTATCCTCTCTCTCTCTACCCCCTCTAACCCTACCCTCTCTCTATCCCCTCTCTCTCTCTATCCTCTCTCTCTCTCTATCCTCTCTCTCTACCCCCTCTCTCTCTACCCTCTCTCTCTCTACCCACTCTAACCCTACCCCCTCTCTCTCTACCCTCTCTCTACCTCTCTCTCTCTACCATCTCTCTCTCTACCATCTCTCTCTCTACCATCTCTCTCTCTCTCCTCCCTCTCTAACCCTACCGCACCGTGTCTCCCCGTGCAGGCCACATCATCATCGTCATCTGGGTGATCGTCTCCCCTAGCAACGACAAGCAGAAGTACACCGTGAAGGTGGCCCATGACCACACGCCCGAGCAGGTGATCGCCGAGGCGATTCGCAAGAAGACGCGCAGCATGTCCCTGTCGTCAGAACAGCTGCGCCTGTGCGTACAGGAGTACCAGGGCAAGTACATCCTCAAGGTGTGTGGCTGTGACGAGTACCTGCTGGAGAAGTTCCCGCTCAGCCAGTACAAGGTGGGTTCGGGCGAGCGGGCGGGTGAGCGGGTGGGTGGGTGAGTGGGTGAGCGGGCGAGTGGGTGAGCGGGTGGGTGAGCGGGTGGGTGAGCGGGTGAGTGGGTGAGCGGGTGGGTGAGCGGGTGGGTGGGTGAGCGGGTGGGTGAGCGGGTGGGTGAGCGGGTGGGTGAGCGGGTGGGTGAGCGGGTGGGTGGGTGAGCGGGTGGGTGAGCGGGTGGGTGAGCGGGTGGGCGGGCGACCAGGACTCCCTCTACAACTACTCACACACTCAGTCACACACACACTCAGTCACTCACTCACACACTCAGTCACTCACTCAGTCACTCACTCAGTCACTCACTCACTCAGTCACTCACTCAGTCACTCACTCACACACTCAGTCACACACACTCTCAGTCACTCACTCACACACTCACTCACTCAGTCACTCACTCACTCAGTCACACACTCAGTCACACACACACTCAGTCACACACACACTCAGTCACTCACTCAGTCACTCACTCACACACACTCAGTCACTCACTCACTCAGTCACTCACTCAGTCACTCACTCACACACTCAGTCACACACACTCTCAGTCACTCACTCACACACTCAGTCACTCACACACTCACTCACTCAGTCACTCATACACTCAGTCACTCACTCAGTCACTCACTCACACACTCAGTCACTCACACACTCACTCAGTCACTCACTCAGTCACTCACTCAGTCACTCACTCAGTCATTCAGTCACTCACTCAGTCACTCACTCAGTCACACACTCAGTCACTCACTCACTCAGTCACTGTCACACACTCAGTCACTCACACACTCAGTCACTCACACACTCAGTCACTCACTCAGTCACTCACTCAGTCACTCACTCAGTCACTCACTCACACACTCAGTCACTCACTCACTCACTGTCACACACTCAGTCACACACACTCACTCACTCACACACTCAGTCACACACACTCAGTCACACACACTCACTCACACACTCAGTCACTCACTCACACACTCAGTCACACACTCACTCACACACTCACTCAGTCACTCACTCAGTCACTCACTCAGTCACTCACACACTCAGTCACTCACTCAGTCACTCACTCAGTCACTCACACACTCAGTCACTCACTCACACACTCAGTCACTCACACACTCACTCAGTCACTCACACACTCAGTCACTCACTCAGTCACACACTCAGTCACTCACTTAGTCACTCACTCACACACTCAGTCACTCACTCAGTCACTCACTCACTCAATCACACACTCAGTCACTCACTCACTCACACACACTCAGTCACTCACACACTCACTCACTCACACACACTCAGTCACTCACTCACACACTCACTCACACACTCAGTCACTCACTCAGTCACTCACTCAGTCACTCACTCACTCACTCTCACACACTCAGTCACACACTCAGTCACTCACACAGTCACTCACTCTCACACACTCAGTCACACACACACACTCAGTCACTCACTCACACACTCACTCTCACACAGGCACTCACTCACACACTCAGTCACACACACTCACTCACTCACTCACACACTCAGTCACTCACTCACACACTCACTCACACACTCAGTCACTCACTCAGTCACTCACACACTCAGTCACTCACTCAGTCACTCACTCACACACTCATTTACACACACTCACTCACACACTCAGTCACTCGCTCACACACTCACACTCACACACTCAGTCACTCACTCACACACTCAGTCACTCACTCAGTCACTCACACTCACTCACTCACAAACTCAGTCACTCACTCAGTCACTCACTCACACACTCAGTCACACTCAGTCACACACTCACTGGGGGTCGGAGATTGGATCGCCGTTTTTTCCCCTAATGATGGTAATAGGTGTGGCGCTGCAGATTACTTTTTTGATGGAGTTAAATAGAGATTTGTGATCACGGGCCACTGAGGCAGACTCCATCTCCTCAGCAACCCGCGACCACCACCCATCCTTGCAGCGCCTCACGGCTTTCCGAACCTCCGAGCGAAGGCTGCGGTAAGCCTCCTCATTCTCTGACGTGGGATTCTGTAGCCGATGACAGTGAGCCTGTCGCTTTTTCTCAACCATCCTGAACACCTCCTCTGTCAGCCGGGGTCTCTGGGGAGGTGTGGACCGCGTACCCAAAGCAGCCATTGCAGCTGCATGAGTCACAGTCCTAAACCTCGCCCATTTACCCTCGACATCAGGAGGAGTCGGGGACGATGCCAATCCCAGCCGCAAGGGATGATGAAATTCTCGCTTGCAACTTTCATCAGATAACTGAGACCAGGCCACTTTAGGTTGGAATGGGGTCCTGGGTGTACACCCACCACCGGAGTGGAAGAATGGCAGGTGACTAGTCGATGGTCAGAGGGCAGTTCAGCTCCATTTTAGGTCCTGGTGTCAAGGACATGGGTTCGCATCCGCTGGTCCGTCACTATGCAGTCCAGCAGATGTTCTTGCTTGGACCCGGCATGCATCCATGATGTGGTGTGGATGCGCCGATGCCGGAACAGCGTGTTGGTCATTACAAGCCCATGGGCTGCACAAAAATCTAGCAGCCTGCTACCGTTGTTATTGAGCTGATCTGGCCCATGCCTTCCAATCACTCCAGACCAGGTGCCAGTATCATGACCAACTCAGGCATTGAAATCACCCAACATGATGACTCTATCCCGAGGGGCCACTTTAGCCAGCACCTGTGACAGGAGGTCATAGAAGGCATCTGACTCATCGGCTTTACCAGCATCCCTCCACGGATGTTCATCTTCAGTGGGGGCATAAGTAACCACGACCACCATTCCTCGCCTCCGGTTGATGGGAAGGCGAGCCCAAAGTAGCCTGGGACTTACAGCTTCCCACACCTCACCACCACGCTCCCACGCCCCCTTCATTCTTTTGTTCAAAAGAAGAGCCACACCCTGTTGTTTGGCAGTCTGCTGCCCCGAGTAGAGGACTGTCCACCCCTCATGGTGGCAGGAGCCAGAGCCGGTCCACCGGACCTCCTGAATGCCACACAGATCCAGGCGGTACCGGTCTAGCTCCCGACAGAGGAGTGGCAGCCTCTCCTCCGCAGTGAGCGTTCGAACATTCCACGTGGCCACCCGTAGTGGCTTTTCGTTGTTTTTGGAGGAGCCCCGAGGGTAGAAATTCAATCTCCTGGCTCCGCCAATTGGGGTTTGGCCAGGAGACGTCATAGACGCCTGGCCCCCCGGGGCCTCCGGCACAAGATTATTAGTTACATATTTCAGTTTAACTCGTGGTTTAGTGGTAATTAATTGAAGGTGGAGGGGTTACCAGCCCCTCGCACCCGTCCAGAGCCCCCGTTTAGCCCCTGTGGTGGACACAGACGCCATGAGGGGAGGAGCCAATCAAAATTGGACCTCCCCCCACAGCACTGTCCACGACAGAGTTGCCCGTCCGGCACCGCGAGGAGGTAGGGGGTTGTTTTGCCGGACCTGACTCACACACACTCACACACACTCACTGAGTCACACACTCACACTCACTCACACACTCACACACACACTCACACACACACACTCACACACTCACACACACACTCTCACATACTCACACACTCACACACACTGACTCTCTCACACACTCTCACACACACTCACATACACACACTCGCACACTCACACACACACTGACTCTCACACACACTCACACACACACTCACACACTCACACACTCACACACTCTCACACACACACTCACACACACACACTCACTCACACACTCAGTCACACACACTCACTCACACACACACTCACTCACTCTCACACACACTCACACACTCACTCACACACACACACTCACTCACTCTCACGCACACTCACACACTCTCACACACTCTCACACACTCACACACACTCACTCAACACTCACACACACTGACACAACACTCACACACACTCACACAACTACTCACACACTCAGTCACACACTCAGTCACACACTCTCACACACACTCACACACTCTCACACACTCACACACTCTCACACACACTCACACACACTCACACACTCACTCACACACTCTCACACACTCACACACACTCACTCACTCTCACACACACACACACTCTCACACACACTCATTCACACACTCTCACACACTCGCTCACACACACACTCACACACTCTCACACACTCACACACACTCACTCACACACACTCACACACATACACACTCACTCACTCTCACACACACACACTCACTCACACACTCTCACACACTCACACACACTCACTCAATACTCACTCACACACTCAGTCACACACACTCACACTCACTCACACACACTCACACACTCACACACACTCACTCTCACACACACACTCACACTCAGTCACACACGCACACACTCACTCAGTCACACACACACTCACTCACACACAACAACCGCCATTCGCGACTAAGTGGTGGTGACGTCACTACGACGCTTGTGCCAGGCTATGTGCACCCTGAGGCCACGTGAAGTGTCGAACGCCCGCTGGCAGGAGGTCACGGGGCAGACCCAGGTGCCACGGGTCGACTGACTGGGATGACTGGCTAATGCACCACCTGTGCCCCCTACTGTGCCAAACCGCTGTGCTTTAGCCACCCGGCGCTCCGCTCTTTGTTCTGAGCGTCGCTCCTCCGCCCTCTGTTGTTGTTGGAGGGCGACTACCTCCAACTGCCCAGTAGCAGCGTCCTTCACGAGCCTCCTCCACAGAGGTCGATCTTGACACCGCTGGTACCAGTCATCGGCAAGTCCACTCAGCTCCACGTCCTCCTGTACCACATCACTCCATCTCTTCTCTAGCCTGTGCCGCGCCCGCTTAGCTCCCTCAATCCGGCCGAACAATAGCTGTTTCGGCAGGCGGTGGCTGGGCATGCGGGCTACATGACCCAGCCATCGCAGCCTTCCCCGCCGGAGGAGCTCACCGATGGGACCTTGCCCAGATCTTTCAAGGATTTGTGAGCTCC